TATTCTGATTCTGTACTTGTACGGGAGGACTTGCCACGGAATACTCGGAGTTGACGGCGTAGGTCGCACGGTGGCCATGGGTTGGCAGCAGAGTGACCGCAGTTGACTGAATTCATCTTCTTCTTGGTTCTTTCCGTAAAGTCACGTAGAAGGGAAATAATAAAATAATTAAAAATAAAACAAAAAAATTTCTCACGACATAGCGGCCACAACATAAGCAGCCGTCCTCAGGTGAGGAAACAGAGCTGTCGGAAAGACAGCGTCCCAATGTTTCTTCACCTGAGGACGGCTGCTTGTGTTGTGGCCGAAACGTCGTGAGAATTTTTTTTATTTTATTGTGTTTATTTTTATTATTTTATTATGTTTTATTTTTATTATTGTATTATTTCCCTTCTACGTGACTTTACCGAAAGAACCAAGAAGATGAATCCCTGCAGTCACGAAAGCTTTAAATCGAAATTTAATTAATCTTGTCTTGAGCTCTGAATGTTATCACTCCTCACGTAAAGCCAAACAAGTACTCACTCACGGGATTGACTAAACATATCAAATGCTGGACTCTTGCAAGTCATTGGATGACATGTGTGTATCATCATTGTGACCCGCTCCTACTGGACATCTATGAAAAATAGCTTTATAGCTCACATAATTCCTCTAGAATAAATATATCAATATTTGTATTAATGATTCTGATCATTATCGGTCATGTGCATTGGCCCACACCTGTACACCAGCGGGTTATGTGCGGGATTGGTGGATCACACAAAGATCACCGTGTACATGCGCTCAACTCACACGCGTCCGATCGAGTGGAGTTACTGTTCCTAGATTTCTCAAAGCTCCCAAACCCACTGGGCCGAGATGTGACCCAGTTGAGGGAGGGGTGGGGGGATGTCTTTCCCCCTCTTGACAGTGTCTCACTAAAAAAAAGTGCTTAAGGAAATCTGCAGACCTGATCCCGGGTGTCTAGAGATTATATCGTCTCATTCTTTCCCGTATGCGTCGCTGTTGTGCCCTTTCTTTCACCGGGAGATGAAACGCGTGAAACAGCATTTGCTTCTTCTGCAAAGGTGACCCGGGATGAACCGACACCGTTTGAAGAACACAATAATTCGACGGTGTTCATAGGGATGGTGCTGCGTGTCACTTTATCGAGGAGGGCATTAAAGAGTGCTTTGTGATTGCAGTTTCCATCTCTTCAGCAACGCTGGCAGTGCCATGCGGCTCTGAACCTCCAAGAAACCTCGTCATCCCGCAGGTGTGAACCATTGTAGATTTTGCGAATCGGCATGTTGGCTTCTCTCGTTGAGCTGCAACTCTTCCTCCGTTATCCAAGGTCCCTTGGGAGGTCTGGACTGAGTCGCAGCACAGCTTTAAGCAGCTGCGTGAGCCACCGTCCTGTCACTCGTTTCCCCTCTGCGTCGGGAGGGGGTGAGGATGATCCATTTCTCACTTACGACGTTCAGCGGCTAGCTATGGTGGCGTTGAATTGGATCCGATGTGGATGACTCCTGTCACAGTCGTAGGAATGGCAGATGCGCCTTGCCGATGACCAGCCAATGGTGAGTGAACAGATGAGCTCCAATGGTAGGCTCCGGTGTCAAGAGCATGGGCTCGCATTTGAGGTTCTGCCACTACTTAGCTCAAATGTTCTTTCTTGGATCTAACGTGTATCGAAGCTGATGCTTCACATTGACAGAACAGGTGTTTACAAGCCCACGGACTGCATAGAAGTATAATCGTCTCCTACTGTCATTGTTGAGCTGATCTGGCCCATACTTTCCAATCACTCTCATCCAAGTGCTAACGTCATAACCCACTCGGGCATTAAAGTCATCTAATAATATAACTCGATCCCAAGGGGCCACTTTAGCCAATACCTGGCACACGAGGTCACAGAAGGCATCTTTCTCGTTTGCTTTGCCCGCATCCCTCCACGGATGTTTACCTTCAGTGAGGGCGCAGGCAACCACCATCGACACTATTCCACAGCTCACGTTGATTGACAAGCAGGCCTCCAACTGCCTCCCACCACATCTCACCACCACTCCTCTGGGACGCGTTAACTCCTTTATTTTGAGGAAGAATGGAGCCGAATCCCAACGTTATAAATGGACCCTCGGCCTGGATTCGAGATCCGCACCACCGTTTAAAAGGGCAACAACGGAAAGTACAAATTGAATCCCAACTCCGGTAGGCCATCAATTCCCACACCGCATACAAGACAAAGGAGTATATTCGCGTATCGTCTGGCATTGTGACTCCTTAGAGCCTGTGTAGATTCTGATTCTAAATCATCGAATCGGAAACTAAATCATTGCATCAGCCAATGAGGACGTCATCGAATCTTGATTTGAAGATTTCGTGACTGCAGGAATCCATACTCTTTGGTTCTTTCGGTAAAGTCACGTGGGTAGAAATAAAATCAAACGAATCACGACGTTTCGATCGTAGCACAAGGCCTACTTCAGCATTTTCTTGCTGTGGTTGTTCCACCTGATGAAGATTGCTTGTGTTGCGATCGAAACATCGTGATTTGTTTGATTTTATTTCTACCTACGTGACTTTACCGACAGAACCAAAGAGTACGTGGTCGGATGTTTAGGTTTTTTGTTTTGTTACACGGATGCTCCCGCCTATCACTAAGCAGTACGGTGAATCATCTTCTTGGTTCTTTCGGAAAAGTCACGTAGAATGGAAATAATAAAATAATTATTATTTTATTCTGTTTTATTTTTATTACTTTATTATTTCCATTCTACGTGACTTTACCGAAAGAACCAAGAAGATGAATCCCTGCAGTCACGAAAGCTTTAAATCGAAACAGTACGGTGAAGTATGCTCAACAGCCCCATGACGAGAGGTCTTCATCCAGCAGTGGCTTGAACAAAAGGAATGTACATTTTTTTCCTTGTTATTACTACTATTACTGTTATGGCAATTATGTAGGCAACGTAGCAGCTGCGTCGCTGTGTGGGCACGGTATGCGGCTGTCCACGTGTGCGACAGCTGTTCTTGATGTCCAGGAGAATGTGTGTGTGTGTGTGGGGGGGGGGGGTAATAGGGTTTCAAAGACGACAGCGATAACATGGCCTATAATACAGATATAAACACGTTCGGGAAAAAGAAAAAAAACCCATGCGTAGGCATGGATTATGTGACGCTTTCCAGCATGCCCGTTGTCTTCGGAAGTGTTGAATTAGCCGCACGAAAGCCGGTGGATAGCTGTAGGGGCAATTCGCGTTTGAATATTTGCGAATACAGGAGTCGGGGTTTTGTTGTGTGTTCCCCTCCCCAGGTTTGGGGTCTCCAAAATATTGGGGAAATTCTTGGATCCATTTTGGGCGGCTTTCAATCGGCGACGTCTCTAATGGGTAGATACGTTTTAACTTGAGTCTATCGTCGTCAGAGGTCACAAACGGGTTTTGATTCCTTACCCGTACCCGTACCCGGCCGCACCAGGGTCGCAAATGGGTACCCGCACCCCGCAGTACCCGTTCCCTACCCCTACCCGTACCCTACCCGAAATGAGTGACAAACGGCTACTCACCAGTGACTCACGGCCTACCCGTACCCGGCCGCACCAGGGTTGCAAACGGCTACCCGTACCAGTACCCGGCCGGGTACGGGTAGCCGGGTATCGGGTAGGGTACGGGTATCGGGTACCTGATTGCGACCTCTGATCGTCGTCTGTTTCGTCTCGGATCGTCTCGACGAGAGTGAACGTTCCTCCCTCGCCCCCTACAGACGGACAGAGCAAATGCGTGGACGATTTCAATCGTACGAAAATTGGAAAGCTTTTTGAATGTCTGGATATAATACGTGCAATATCGAGCAAAGCAATGGTATACATAGATGCCTATATGCACTTGTAGAAGTACGTATTGTATATTTCCCGGGCATTCTGTCAGGCATAGAACTTGAGTAATTTCCGAGTTCATTGCCGAGTTTATGGGCTCATTCTGGCTGGAAGGAGCCATGTGCAAAGTTTGGTATGAATTATGACTTCCTACCACCTGCTGATATTCCCGTAAACTTCACTCGTTCTTACACCCATGTTGCGCAGTTGGTCTATCAGCCAAACTGTGTCGTCTCATCCACACTGTGTCCCACCACCATCCACCACCACCACACTGCATGCAGGTCACTATAACACCCTCACCCACTTACTCACCCACCACAACACTTCTCTGCATGATTCTTCCTTCGCGCTGCTCAATTTTTGGAATTCCCTCCCATCGTCTGTACCGTACCGTATTCCCACGGCATTATCATCTTGCGCAGAATTCAAGACGCGTGCAAACTCTTTATCTATCGCAAATTCGATCGTACTGTGTTGTCACTGACCGCTTGAGCCTTCAGGCCTGTGAAAGAATGACCCACGAAAGATAAACTATGATGACTTTTGGCTTAGATCGGAAGAAAAAAAGCCAGTGACCAAAAAGTTTTGCCAATCGCGACGATGAGCGTGGGGGGCGCTCCCTGGCGGACACAGCGGGGGACATCGCCAAACAATCGTGGAGTGAACAGGAGAGGTTTTAATAACCATACGTTTTAGAATATCTATATTTTTGTAAATATCAGCTTGTCACATAGGGCGGGCTGGCTGGCTTGGTAATGGCTTGCGCGTATATTTAATCATTTATATACCCGTGGTCACAATGCGTGTTTGCGTGACGAAAGCTTCGCTTGCTCCACAAATGAGCGAGGATTTTAAAATGTGATCGAATGATAGCCATTCCTGGTGGCATTGGAAAGGGATTAAAGGGACACAGTGAGATGTTTATGACTCGAGACATTTCGAGGAATAACACAATTTAATTGACAATTTGTGGTTGTAACAGACATCGAAGGTTCCCTGTAAGTTACTCAAGTGGTTTTTACAATATAGCAACCATAATCCCCAACTGATCAAAATTAACTTGGCAGGAGCTGAATGATAATAGAGTATGGTACTGTATATATAGATGTTTTAAAGTCACGGTGCTTTGTTTTGTCAGACGGAGTGTGGACGAGTGGCGTTTGGAAGATCAGACACGGACTACGGAGGCCAATACAACTCCCCCGTGCTTGGTAAGGCTGATACACACACAGGCACATTGGAAACACACAGACACACACACAGTGCCCGTTGCACGCACACTTTGTGTTGTTGTTATTATTATTACTGCTACTATACATGTTTACCCAGGAAAGCCTCATTGAGCATCACGACTCGTTTTAAGGAGAGTCCTGTCAATTTTTTTTTACAGTAGAGGAGCAATGATTGTTGCCTAGATTTTAATCGAGTAATTTACGTTTAAAATTTGGCAAATTTAGACCACGTGTTCCTCGATCTGCCTATGAATATCATAAACCCATGCACCTCTCCTTGCTTTGTTCGGAATAATTTTCAGTTTTTTTTCATTTGTTTCTGAACCATATGTCATAGGCAGGTAGTAAACACTGATTTGAAAACTGTCTTCTGTCGGCACATTGGTACGTATGACAATGGGACCCTTTTCGGCGGTATCGAGTTGATTAGAAACAAGAATCGGGGATTTACCCTCTCCGGCAATAATACAGGAGGTGTCAGGGTGTTCAAACACCAAATCGACACTTACTGAAAGGCATTACGGCTGCATTAATAATCAGTTTCAAGAACAATGGAAATTGTATCATCAAAGGAAGTTTTTTTCAACGTCGTTTCACAAGCATGTGTGGCGAATGCAGACTTGATGCCTTCCAATCGGTGTCTATTTTGTTGTTTGATCATCTTAACACCTCCTGCATTATTGCACAAAATGGTAAAGCCTCTTATTTTAGTTTCTCATTACATTGTATGTATGTATGTATAACTTATTCGCACCGTACGTAGCCAACCGTGTGGTGTGGGGGAAGCACAAAAAACTAAACACAAAAGGTAATTTTAAGGACATGCGTTTTCAATCTAGATTAAAAAGTGTATAGATTCCGTCTTTATTTGATGTCCGGCCAAAAGATGGCTAGCATCGGTACGTTACTTCGGACGAGATTGGGCTCCACCGATGAGCACATTTGTTTACGTACGATGCGAAATAATTTTTACTTCGATTTAAAGCTTCTTTCGTGACTGCAGGGATTCATCTTCTTGGTTCTTTCGGTAAAGTCACGTAGCAGCCGTCCTCAGGTGAAGAACAGGTCTGACAGACCTGTTCTTCACCTGAGGACGGCTGCTTGCGTTGTGGCCGAAACGTCGTGAGAATTATTTTATTATGTTTTATTTTTATTATTTTATTATTTCCAATCTACGTGACTTTACCGAAAGAACCAAGAAGATGCGAAAGAAGTTCAGCATACACATGTACAACACAGCACGTGCGTTCCAAATCCGTCCCTTGCGCACAGAGGCCGCCGGAGTGAAGGGTGCGCTCGTGGTGTCCAGCCTTGACTGCCTGTCCAGCATCGTGGAGCGAATCTCCAGCGAGCAGAACCCCGGACCCGCCGGCCCGCCCGGCGGTGGCGGCCCCCACGCCAGTGGGCCCCCCGGTGGGCCCCCCGGTGGGCCCCCCGTTGGGCCGGCCTACGGCCACATCCCCTCCGACGGGGGCCCGGATCCCAGCCACGGTGGAGGGACCCTCGGGGAACCGGGACCACAGTTGTGTTCCATTGGCCGAGACAACTCGATCGCCCCTACCCCTGTGTACGAGGTGTTATAACTGAAGCAAACGAATCGGTGGGGGTGGCAGTGGGATGGGGTGGGGAAACCTAAGTCAGATACGGCTCATGACTTCATTTCTTGTGGCTCTCGGCCACGCGAGGCCCACCACTTCCAAACTTGCAGGCATCTTGTACTAGAAGGGAGGAGGAGGGGGGGGTTACGTTCAACCTGGCAACATCACTGCATTTCCAAGGTTCGTGCCGTCAATCACTTGTGTCACTGCCGTGATGGAAGTGGCTGAGGTGGGTACTGTATTGGTACGGTTGCCTACATGTAGTTGTCTTTTTTTAACTCCTGTTCGGCTCTCAGCAAGGAAAAGGTTCCCCAACCCTGCACTAGAGTGTGTGGGCGCCCGTCTAATTGTCTGTGTGTGTGTGTGTGGACATATAAACGAGTTGCAATTGTAAGTCGATTGGTAGTTGGGTTTAAGTCGACTCACTAAACGAAGCGAGTCTTCTTCTCATTCTAGTCCCATGGCCTTTTTGCGCAATTGGAGGTACAACCCTTTCCTTCAGAGAAAATCTCCTTGCAGTGTTCTCCATCTGTCACTCCGTCATCACAACCGATATCGCTGCCATCCTGTCCAGCGCTTTGCTGTTTTATGACTAACAGCCAGATCGTGGTGTTCATCCTCACCCCGCCCCTGTACCCAGCACTTTTCACGCTTGGTAATCGACCACATTGCATCCTGGCCACGTGTTACTAATGCAGTGCCGCAGTTTGCCGTGCTAGACACAACTTGGTTGCCTATGTCTGTCCAGCTGTCTTGTTTCTCGCACGCTTTGAAAAATCAATCAATAATTACATGCAGGAGGCTTTCGGTTCAGAGGCACCGATTCTCCGTCGTTACTAGGGTTCTCACACCTCGCTGTTGAGTACACCGAGGAGATCAACGGCTTCTTCTTTGACGTGACTAAGATTTCTCTAGTTTTTACAAACTTCATCCGGTTTGCCTTAAGCAGCTCTTGCGGAGCCGAGTCTCGTATTTGCGTCGTTTTTACTCGTGGCACGTGCTGTCACGATGCTGCCAAGATATTTTAACTTCCAGTGGCTGTCCATCTGACAATGATGGTGATCCTTTACTTTCCAGCAGTTCCTTTTTTACCATTGATGTTTATTGTTGCAAATATTACTCATCCTATGGGGAATTTTTTTTTATCGATATCATCTGCGAACCAGCAGGTTACATAGCCTTCACTCTGTTCCTCCTCAAGTGCCTCTCACGTAATGTACTCCAACACACATGTACTCCAACACACATGTTGGAGTGCCGTGCGGGAGGGAGACAGCGCACAACCCTGTCGCACTCCGAGCACGATTCTAAACCATTTCGTCAATAGCGCATCCCATGCATCGCCCATTGTGTAGCCTGCCTTTGTGTTTATATGGGTGAATTATCCAACAATCGGCTGCATCACGTAGAGTAGAAACGCAGCAAGTCAAGGTGAATTGTGTTGTATACCGTATTTGGACATGGGATCGTGGTTGGATTGTGGACAGTAGCTCACGTGATTCTGGACCAGCTTTGTCTCATCTGACATAGGATCCAACATAAATACATACATACCATAAAAAAACTAATCCTTATTTTATCTGTTACAGAATCCCGGATTCATCCAATACAGAACCCTTGACTTATACGATTAAAGAACCGTCAACCCATCGAATAGAGAATTCTGGGGTCAATTTCGTCTATTAGTTCAGCTTGTAGGTGTTGATGAATTTCACTCACTTCAGTGGCCAAACAGTAAATCTTTTCATCGATTAATATATTCACTACAGCAAAGCTTGACTCGATTATGAAATTCAGTCTTGGTTGCAACTCGATTATATATGTGTATACACGCACACAACCTCGCCAACACAAATCTTCATGAAATATTCCGTGCCTTATTCTGTTACATCAAAATCGCGTGTGAAGCCAAACTAATTTGTACAAGAGCCTGTTGTGTTATTGCTGTTATTACTGTACAGTATTTTTTCTTATTATTGTGTTCTTGGTTTTGTTCAATATTAGTTTAGCACTCTCAAAGTCTCAATTGTTTAAAGCTAATTTCCTTTTTCTTCGTTTTTTTGTTTCATTTGATGTTTGTTTGGCTCTTCGTGATTCTTCCTAGTAACTTTGTATTTTTCAAGGTGAGCCAAAAAAATTGATACGGACCATATAGTTTAATTTTTTTCACGGTATCTGTGTGATTGCTCACACGTTATCTGTTCTGTATTATCACGATTATTATTGTGATTGTTATTGCAAAAACCCAAGAACCAGGGCCTCGGTGCCAATAAAAAAAAACAACAATAGTGCGTTTATGCGAACGCCCGTTCATTTATAAATTGTGGCATAATACTGTGGTTGCTGAATGTATTTATGTTTGTAATTTTTTTAATTTATTTCTTACAAGCAAAAAAAAAGTATGACATTTTTTTTTGGATCGCGGCCCCAAATTTGTGTACTGTATGTCAAAATAAAAATACGAATACCAAAGTGCCAAAGCTTGTTAATAAAATATATAAAAATGTCTAAATATTTCATCCAAAGTGGATTTTTTTTGTATGCGCGTGTGGACGACATGACGACATAACGATTTTGACTTCCGTTTATTCGGGACCCCGGGGTCCCGCCATAAGGTTCATTAGCGAACCATTACAATTGGTAGTTACGGTCGTGAATAGAGTTCGAATTCCTTGCTGCGCGATTTGACAACGTAACTAACAGCGGCGGCTTTAAAGTGGAATACGAATCGACGAATTCATGAATCGTTACACCTCGAGAAATCCGCCTTGCTCCCAGCAAATGTATATCATGAACGCGACGTATCTACTTACTTTGGCGATTGCTGCTGCGTTGGCAGGGGCGCACAAGCACACATAACAATGATTCGACAATTAAACGGAATCAGAATATTTATACTGGAGGGGAAAAAATCGTATGAGCGATAAATCTCTTTTTCCACAGATGTCCAGGAGGGACACGGGGTCAAAACGTTACAACAACGAACAGGACAAAACACAACAGGAGTGCAAAGTATAGGAAATGTAAACACATCACTTAAAATATATACTCTTTAGTTCTTTCGGTAAAGTCACGTAGGTATAAAAAAAAATACTGGTAGGAACATCCTGGTTACACCAGCCCACAGGGGATTATTGTGTCCGTCCGTCGTGCAGACAGCTGGGTGGGGAGGGAGGGGCTGGGTGGGGAGGGTGGGGCTGGGTGGGGGGTGGGAGGGGCTGGGTGGGGAAGGGCTGGTCACCCCGTGGTGCCCTTATAAAACTCAGCGTGTAACCTACTCACGCCGGCTTGTGCCCGCCCTCACAGTCGGCCATATTTGCGGAATACACCACGCCGCCGTTGACCCTGGCCATTGACCGAGCAACCCAACGTTCCTACCAGCTGCCTCCGCAGGAATGTGTTAGATCACGACGTTTCGATCACAACACAAGCAAGAAAACTGTGGTTGTCTCACCTGATGACGATTGCTTGTGTTGCGATCGAAACGTCGTAATCTATTATTTTTTTCTACCTACGTGACTTTACCGAAAGAACCAAAGAGTATGGATTCCTGCAGTCACGAAAGCTTCGAATCTAGATTAAAAGATATCACCAGGTGAAGCCCATTGAACTATTTTTCAGAAGCGACTTGGCCACAAATGATCGCTGAACGAATTGGGCAATCACGTGGAAATACATTCGTCAACAACACGGTGGCCTTAAAATAATAATAAAGTCATGAATCTTCTTTGCGCATGTCCTGTGAGGAAGGGCCATTGCCTGAAACGTCGCCTATGTTACGTTGTTGACGGGTGTGACAGATTACAACACCCATCCCCAGCGTTTAACAGTACTCTCCTTTTTTGTATTTGGGTTGTCACCAACACTGGGTTAAACAACATGCGCATTGTCGTTCTCTTCTAGCATGTGACCTTTAGCATGTGCACCTGTTGTTCTCTTTTAGCCCCCCCCCCCCCCCCCCCAATACGCTCCATTCATTGGCTACCACACTCAGATAAGCTCCTCCCCCCCTCCGCCCCCCCCTTAACTTGTATTTAAGAACTTGTATCTTGGAATTGTTGTGCCTCACTTGATACAGTAAATCTGGCTGTGACGGTCCCACCTGATGACGGAGACTTGTGTTGCCTCGGAAACGTCGTGATTTATTATTTTATTTTATTTCTATTATTACTTTTATTAATTTTAGTTTTGTTTTTTACCTACGTGACTTTACCAAAAAAACCTAAGAGTAGATTACCACACCGACCAATCGCCGCACACGCGGGCGCGAACATTAACATATCATACTCTTAGTTCTTTCGGTAAAGTCACGTAGGTAAAAAATGAAATTAAAATAAAAAATAATTAATAAAAAATAATAAAAACAATAAAATCACGACGTTTCGGAGGCAACACAAGCTTCCGTCTTCAGGTGAAACTGTCACAGCAAAATATCTGTATCAAGTGAAGAGAAGTGAAAGCTTCAAATCTAGAATTAACATTTCACTTTAAATTTCGATTTAAAGCTTTCGTGACTGCAGGGATCCATCTTCTTGGTTCTTTCGGTAAAGTCACGTAGAAGGGAAGTAATAAAATAATAAAAATAAAACATAATAAAATAAAATAATTATGTTTTATTTTTATTATTTTATTACTTCCCTTCTACGTGACTTTACCGAAAGAACCAAGAAGATAAAATATCACTATTAACATATTTAAATCGGGCTCGGGATGAGGGCGGGGTCAGACTAACATAATGCATAAATTAACATAAATTATGTAGATAAGCCAATCAAGTCGCGGCTCGCGCACGCGGAAGTCGGGGGGGCAGAGGGCGCTCCCGTCGTGCCCCGCGCTTCCGCCCGCCATTTAGCACGCGTGGAGCGCGCGCTTATCAGCGGCGCTTAACACAATTTTTGGTTTAATATACGTCAAGTGTATTCATATTTAGATTATTTTCTTCAGCTCTCGAGCAGCAAGAACACCCCGCGTGCGGCCATGGCGTACCGCGGGCAGCCCAAGGTGCAGAAGGTGATGGTGCAGCCGATCGTATCCTCTTCGTTTTGGCACGCCCGCTCAAGGCGAACGCAGGCTTCGGCGGGAGGGACCAGGCCTCCGCGGCCTTTTCGACCGAATTCTCCGTCTTTGTGTCAACAAGTTGTGGTGTTGTTGCCGCGTCTAGAGTGCGCGTTTCGTGCGACAAGTCCGGGATCCATCGTTGAGGGTTTTTTTTGTTGGTAGATGCGCTCGCCTGCCCGTTCGGTGCGCCGGGAGTTGCGCGTTAACAATGGGAAGAGAGGTTGACGCGGGGGTTACCGCAACGGGCTCATGCCACAGGCCAACTAACATCGGCGGTGCGTGTGTACAACGCTGTGCACTTTCGAGATCCGAAACGTCGTGACTTAGACGTGTCGAAGTACAATCAGCCGCATGTAGAACATCGACAGACCCGACTGCGCGTATCTCCGTAACTGGAGTGGCAAAGACGCGTTGCAGTGGGACTGTCCACGCAACACAAACTGGACCTTGTAAACCAATTAACGGTGGGACGTGTTTGTGGTGTTTGCATGTTGGCCACATGTACGTGTGGTTAATGCAGACTTGATCCTTGCAAAAGGTAGATATGCCTGGTGTTTGAACATCTTATCTGTTTTGTTGTCAGAAGGGTAAAACCCATTTGAAAATTAAAATTAGATTGCGCTCCTTCCACGGGAAGAGCAAAAAACTAAACGAACCACCCTCCTGAATCGCTCGCAAGCTTTGGCATTTGGCTTCTGAACACATTGCCTTACGCAATACAATATACTGGTGGTGAGTATTAAAACCTTCTCCGACCCCTCATCGCCTTTACCAACCAAGCCGTAATCTCACGACCTACGGCGTGGGAAGGTCTTGAACCGGCATTGGGTTGCCAAGCGTGATTACAACGCACCGACTGAATGTAACTTCTCGTCGCTCCAGCAGCGTGGCTTGTGTTACTGGGTTGCCGATGCAATTGGTACCGTTTATTGCACAAACAGCTTCGATGATGGGTATAGTAAAAACAAAGACGTTAGGTAGGCAATGCATTTTAAAGAATATTTTATTTCTTTTGAAATGCCGCTGTTTCGTATGATCACATATTCCCCATGACCAAGCAGCACGTGGGGAAATCCTCATTCACCAGTAGGTTGACAAGAGCTTGTACATAGGCACACGGAAGTAGTACTTGACGCCCAGATGACCAGCATTAAGCATGTTCTTACTGGACAAAGTTAAGTCTCCCGGTTCAAAGGATCGTGGGGCAGTGCTCAGATGTGTTGGTGGTTAAGCGGTGGAATTTTGGACGATATTACTGAAGTTCGGTTTACCAACTCGGGGGAGTTGACGAATATAATCTAAACCCTAGAAACATTAACAGTTACAAACGTCATCTGAACTCAGATATTTCGTGAAATGTCATTTGTTTGTTGTAAAGTTTTTTTTTTATATGATACCAATAATATTGTTTATGGTTTAAGCCCTAATGTTGGTGTTTTGAGATGATTCCTTGACTCCCAGCTCTTCGCAGAATTTGATCTTCAGATATCTACAAAACGTAAGTAATTCCATTCCAGTTCTTTTCATTCATGGCATGGGGTTGTCTGCAACAAAACCACAGCCCCCTCTGCTCACTCATTCGTGCTCATGTGTCACGTGATCACCACCCTTACCTTTGTTGATCTATTGTTAAATCATCTTATATTGACTTTGATAGAGGTGTGTTGATGTCAGTGCTATTCATTATAATCGGTCTCCTCCATCGGCCATCCCTGCTAGAGGCAGATCCTGGCCACGATTTACAACTATGAATCTAGCTTGCGTATGCACAATAATCTATCTCTTCCTGTTTCACTATAATTCCACCCACGCTTCTATACCCATGTTTACTTTGTGCACGTTTTAGCTTTTGTTAATTGTCATTGTCCATGTTTTTAATTCATATGTCACGGCCAGTATTGCATACGTCCACAGTGTCTGCTCCTGGAGCACCGTCTAACTTGTCTCTCATGTTTTGCACGGCAGAGGTCCCGGATACAGATCTGGCTGTACGAGCAGGTCAACATGAGGATCGAGGGCTGCATTATTGTAAGAGGAAACTGCTTTACGAGCTTATTCTGATCAAATATATCCCTTAAGCAAATACTTGTGAGCATGACACATATAACATGAACAATTATACGTACATGCAGAAGTGTCTCATCGTTTCAGCTGGTGGTCCTGAGTCTTTGGTGTAAATTCCACATGCCTGTGGTGTTGGTCAGGCTCTATGGGATAGCCACATTTGACTCCCACACAGTGGCACTAATTTAATTCTCTCGAGCCGAGACATTCTGAATGTGGGTTCCATTACCAGCTTGTTTAAATCGTTTTTACTTTAAAGTTCCCTTCATGTTAATAAAATGAATACAGGTTTATGAGCTAAAAAACACTTAACTGTTATGTAGCTGACCACTGCTTTAACAACATTAACACCCGGCTAGGTAAAGTAAAACGGTACTAGTTACGTATCACATGGTTAAAGGAATAAACGCAACATGCCTGCACATAAGAGTGGAAGGCAATGCTCATTTCAATTGGAAGCTGAGAGGCTGTGGTAGAAATTCCATATTTGTATGGCACCTGCTAAGGTTTAAGATAAAGGACTTAGCTTTAATATTTAAGGTAGCCGGAACCCTAAAAGCAATCGCTACAAAACTTAGCATACAGCCTCAGTTAGCATACAGCTTTAGTTTGGTGTTTTAACATCTTAACACCTGTTTTATTGCCACAAAGGGTAAAACCTATTCTTATATTTTGATACTCGCAAGGGAGGTCCCATGATGTTCCATATTGCAATTAGCACACTACATTACAACGTGTATATGTGTGTGTAAACGTACACCTAACGTCACGTGACCGAGATGCCCACCCCGCAACTTGCAGTCGTATCGGAACGGGAAAGGGGTTAACTGGTTTGCCAGCCTGTGTTTTCCGGGCGCGCCGCTGACGGAGGTGTGCCGTGTTGCACAGGGCTTTGACGAGTACATGAACCTGGTGCTGGATGACGCCGAGGAGATCCACATGAAGACGAAAGCGCGCAAACCCCTCGGTCGGTCGCCCTCTCCGCACTTCGAGCTGTTCTTGCTGTTCCTAGCGCTCCTGTCGTCTTCATCTTATCATCGTCTTATCATCGTTGTCGTCCTCCTCCTACCTGTTCGGTGCTCGATATTTTATCACCGTCATTTTATCCTGAAATTCCTCATTTCCATTGTCTAGTTTTCTTATCAGATGCTTTCATTGGCATGTCCGTTATCTTTTCGTCCGCTGTGTATTGTACTTGTTCTTCTTTGCATGACCACCTCTTCCTTTCTCGTGCTGTTTTACTCCTGTTATTTTTATCCTATTTTTATCCACGGTCAACATTAAAATTTTCTTGGCAATCTGGCTTTTCACTGACTTTGCTTTCTCTCAATATTGTGTGTATGCTTTTTGTTATATTTGTTTACCTATTCCTTGCTACGTGATCTCAACAATTTTATTGTACTTATTTTCCTCTTCATCTTCCTTGTGTCTTTCATAAAATTCCTCTTTGTTACCCATACCATCTTGACACTATCTTTTGACTAACAGGATGTCGGTGCGCTCTGCTATGTTCATTTGTCTTACAGGCACATTTCAAATGTAACTTGTAGTTGTACGCGGAAGTTGGTTGGTGATGCGTGCATTGCTGACATGTGCGCGCGCTCTGTGTCGTTGCTGTGTTTCAGGGCGCCTAATGCTGAAAGGAGACAACATAACGCTGATCCAGAGCGTGGCTGGATGAAATTCGGCGCTACTGAAACCACCATGCAGCCACGCACATCGCACCCACCTACTCCATGCCCACTGCCACAACACCGCTCGCCACAATCGCCGCACACGCACCCACCTATTACGCATCTTCAACTCGCCAACTTTACGCACTGATTACGCATCCCTCGGCACACCTGCATCACTCTCGCCAAACGAACCTTTGCGCTACTCGCCTCCAAAATTTAAAATCCACCCTCAATACTAAATCCATGCCTACTTTCAGACTACATCTAAGTTGCTCATCCTCACTACATCAAATCTCACCGTACAGTCACAAGTCAGCCTCGACTGCAACTGCAATCGACCTCATCACTTGCTCCGAGCTCACTGAGCATGCCGCTCGTCATATTTTCCACAGTGCATCCACCATTGCCGAACACCACATCGCACATTCATCACACTTAGAGCCGGCTCGCCCCATTCCCACACGCCCCACAACCCTATTTTGAGTTTTACATCCACCGCGAGTCTGCGTTTCCATTAGATGGATTTTGTACACGTTCCGTCAGTCCTTGTGTGTATGCGAGCCACTGGTGTGCGTTGGGAAGTCCACAGTTCACCAATCGGTGCGTTTTCAATTAAACTTTCATTTTTAGGGTTGTGTTACACGTGTGTCGTGATGTTCCCATTGATGGTTGAGAGGTCGAATGGACGGAGTTGCAGTCAAAGGAGGGAACGTCTTGAGAATGCGTCGCCTTAAGAGACATTCCGAGGGATGGTGACCACAGCAGTGGATAGGTCATGCCTGATGAATAGATCGTGCCGTTCACTTGTTGAGATGTATGTACACCTCGGACATTTGTCGCTGCATCGAGTATCATTGCAGGGTTGCAAATCCCGACAGCGCTATTTGAATCGACTGGCCCCTTTTAGATTAACGTTGCCGTATTGGGAAGCATCTTCTTGGTTTTTTCGGTAAAGTCACGTAGAGGGAAAATAATAATAAAAAAAATAAAGTGAGAATACTTTTATGTTTTATTTTTATTATTTTCCTTCTACGTGACTTTACCGAAAGAACCAAGAAGATGAATCCCTGCAGTCACGAAAGCTTTAAATCGAAAAGTATTGGGATTGGTAATGCTTTGTTGGCAACCCATAGGTGAACATGGCAGTACAGTATTTAATACCATGATTGTGAGTTTGGTTTAAGTCCGGACTGCTTGTACAATAACATGGCATTTCATGCAAACATTTACGATCGCATTTCAAAATCTGCTATGCTACCCTTGAAGTTCTCTCTAATACCGGGCTAATCGGGTGGCACAATGGTCAGCACCAGACACGAGTGATATCTGAACTGTTGCCCGGGCCCCACCAACCCGCTTTTGGCCCGCGTGGGAAATGGTGTGGGGATACTGGTCAGCGGTAGGTTGAAAGGGCTGTAAACTATACATTGCTATTGAAATCTGAAACGCCAGCAATAGGGTGGATGTGCGACGTCTCGCGGGCACATCGCTGCTGCTGTCGAGTGCCGTACACAAAACTGGTGGTTTCAGAATGCTTCGGAAAATGCTGTGACCTTGTCAATACGTATACAATATGTAAATTAACTTAACTCGCCCGCCCTGCTAATGCACCGGATGTAGTGCCTGGCTCGCAGTCGGGTTAAAATTATTGTCCGAGGACGGCTCGCTCTCTACTCGTCACCATGCCCGCATCATCGCAACCAGCCCTGAACTACCAGGCTCCAATGAAAACGTTTTTCAGTGTTGATATTGTCCCACACCATCTGCAATGTGTGCACGCGCAACACTTTCGCCAATCCAGGGTTTAGGGTGGGTGCGCAAATTTGTGTTTGGTTCCACGTACCAAGAATATTTTACAACTCCCATTAGCACGGTTAGTCACATACGGTGCGAGCTGAGTTTTACATACAACTGACCAAACCAGAGTGAATTCTTAGCGGCATATCGCCATTACAGTGACTGATGCACGCCTCTTGTTCTTGCAGGTGGTGCTTAGGGGTGGGCGGGGTGGCGATCCCTCCCATTAACTCCACAGTAACAAGGGGAGTCTCGGCCGTGACAAATTTGCTCCGTTAAACATTGTGTGGCCTCGAGCCCTAAATCCGTTACTGCCGCCATGTGGCCACGCGCCTCGCTCCCTGCGCGTCTCTGATAAAGCCCCTGAGCGATTTGCCCGCCGCGTCACGTTTTGTTTCGTCCCAGAGCGAGGCAATTTGACAGCAGGACGTGGCGCGCGATGTTGAGTGGTTGGTTGGTTGATCGCGTCTCTGCCGAAGCTGCGGGCCAAGAGGTGTCGCAGGCGGCGGTGGTGGTGGAGAAATCATTTTGTTACGCTACAGAGAACCAAAAAATAAAAAAAACAAGATTCTGCACTGAAGGTGTCATGTCAAAAACAGGTATCCACTTGCTCTGGGCAAAGGGCCCAAACGCGCCCCTATCCACTGGTCGAACTGTGAATGTAGATGTCCCGGCTACGAAACCTATTCGTCCTGCTTGTTGCCCATGTTGGCTGCCGTCTGCCCTCTGCAAACATCGTAGCGTCAGTATAGGAAGTGGCCGTATACACTTTATTTTACCAGGTAAAGCCCACTGAGCCGAGATAGCTCTTTTTCAGAAGCGACCTGGCCACGAATGATAGCTCAACGAAGTGCCTTATGTGGACATTTATTGCAGCGAAATACTCTTAAACGCACGTTGCTTCTAAATGGTGAGGGAAAAAACCAGAGGACCCGGAGATGAATCCACGGGGAGAAGAATGCACACCAACAATGCAGTGGGCAGCCAACGCAGCGCATACACGCGGTGGAAGAGGACCATCTACCGTGGAGATGGAGTGATGAATTGGGCCCTTGTGCAGGTAGCCATGCGGATTGTTACAAGGCCCCCGACAGAACGGGCGAGGGGCTCGGAGAGGCCTTCAACCAGCAGTGGAGTAATCGTGCCTGATGATGGTTCATTCGTAAAAATAAATATTGTTTGATTTCACAAGTTCGTTCAAGAGGTGTGCATAAGATAATAGTTTTTTTACCCTTCTATCTGGCAACAAAACTGACACCTTTTTTACAAGGAGTCATGTTTGCATAGATCACAATACCTGCAGTCATAATGCAAAGAAAAAAACATAACTGATAATGTATGCACTGTCCTTGAAGTTGATTGGTCCACACCCGACAGTGCATATATTATCAGAGTTATGTTTTTTGTTTGCATTATGACTGCAGGTATTGTGGTCTATGCAAACATGACTCCTTGTAAAAAGGTGTCAGTTTTGTTGCCAGATAGAAGGGTAAAAAACAATTATATTTTTTACTGGCAAATGAGGTTCCAAAAATGTGCATAACTTGGGGAGTTTGAATGTTGTGATCACTAGAGGGCAGCGCGTTCTACGGATGTTGGTGGGTTTGTGTCAAACTCCAATCGTTTATAACCACTGACACTGCTCAGCGGATATCCCCCTCCCCTCCCAAACACTCATCACGCTCACCTGACACTCACCTGACATCACACGGGGGTGACGTGGGCCGAGCGAGTAGCTCGTTCGCCGCTTGTTGCAGAGTTCAGCTGATGCCCTGGTCATCACCAGTGGACGTTCAAGAGTAGGCCATCGTGTGGCCGCCGTCACGGTCGAAATTTGGCAAATTCGAAATTATTCAGTTTGGGTTAATCATACAGCAACAATAACCCCCCCCCCCCCTCCTGGCAGACTAATGACCTCAGGTCATCCTGGAAGAGTTCTCACGTGGTTGAACAGAATAAACTTGAAAATTCACCAGGCACCAGAGACGCTTTACATCACCAACCACCACCCATGAGACGCCAGTCGTCATTCACCCGACACTCTCCACTCACCTGACACGTTCATCGAACTCTTAGAGAGGTACACACTCGACACCCCCCCCCTACACCCCCCACTAAGAGACCAAGCCACTCCGCCTACGGTGTGTCTCTGACGGATGTCCCCTCACTGTCATCAGCGGTGTGGCTCTCCCAGTTGTAAACGCAACCAGGCCCGCGCACACCTGCACAAAAGTTTGTGCCCGATCCCACCATTCGCCCCGTCCTGCCGCCCCTGTCAAACGTTGTCACGACGTTACGCGCGCGAGAGAGAATGTGTGTGGGTATATTTGGGCATCAATAAAACATAAACTTGTCTTTTTTATGTTTATATAATTTAATGTTTTTTTTTTGTCTCGCCCCCGAAATTCGTTCCCGATTTGTGATATCATGCCACGGGCAGAAGTGGTCATTCAAATCTCTCTCGCAGAGCAGTGCAGCCCTTCGTGGTTTGAAGAGAATGACCCGCAGAACAAGATATCAGAGAGCTACCACTGATGTCCCGAGAAGTGACCGCGGGGTACAAGAAGCAGGTGGCAAAGCTCTTTGTGCCCACCCGCCACCCCGTTCTGCCACTGAGATTCATGTTCATCGCACGACAAGACAATTTTCCATTTTCGGAGCTTAATCACAAGCGGCTGCCTTATTTAAAACCCAGGATCTCAAGCGGTGCCAGCTCCGTGTTCGGGCAGCCGAGTCACCTGGACACCTCAGAGAGATCGGTTAAGAATAATAAACAATAACTAATTCACGAGCTCACCTCTCACTCGAAGAAACAACTCGCATGCGAGATGAAATGTTTAATTGAAAACAGCTTTTTTTTGCTTTACATTATTAACACATATCGTCTTCTCAGGTCTGCCTAGCATATGTTACACAGTGCAGGATTGGATGTCCGTCCGTGTTTGCAATTACTATAGACCAGGTAGGGGTGGCCAAACTTCCTACCCCGATGATCCGCAAAGCGACATCCACGTTCACATGGCCGGGAGCCGCGAGACTCTGAGCGGGTGATGCGTAGCGGTCAAACGATTGGCTGGCTGTGGAGTTTAGAAATCTGCGGGAGCACCCCGGCAGAATACAGGACTCATGTCTGGCTGCCCTGCCAGGGACGAGTGCACTCCGGCCGCTTGCGCCGATTTTTTCATTATTATTTCAAATAAAGTCACTTTCATGCCACCCCCTGCGTCCTAGGAGTCGTCTCCCTGCATTAACGAGTGTTGGGGCGGCATATATTTCAATTGACAGTTGAGGAAATGCCACATTTCCATGGCAAGGGAGAGTTTATAGAGAGGACTGTTGATATATCACAAAGTGGTACAAATTTTATTCACTCCGGAGTAATGATGGATTGTGACGGTATCTGAACGGAACTTGAACTCGTTATCTTCTTTATACAGCAAAAAATGAACAACGAAAGGTTACCGCCCATTGCCAATCCGCTTGGTGAGTGGATTGCTTCGCCGTGTCAGTCATGCGGTTTGTTTGGGCCACGTTTCACCAATCTGGATAATGTGGATTGGTGCAGGAGTGGGGGCTAAGACTGGCTCAGATATCACTCGCCACTGATGTTAGCCGTGACCAGAAATGGAACTGAGGCGACGAATAGTGTAGTCCGCTAACCACTGCACCACCGCTCCACCCCAACAATCAATTATCACAGGTGACCTGGGGTTGACTCAGCCACCACCATCACCATCATCCCTTTGGGGTGAATACATATTTTTTTAAATCTTCACTGTAAACTACTTAAAATGAATTAATAAAGGTGGAGACATCGGCTGCTCCTTGCCATATGAACGTGGAGTTTACACCATTGGCTCAGTACTGGCAACACAGATGAGCACTGCCCCAATGCTCTCCTTGAAGAAAGAGAGACGGTTGACATTTTGACGGACCAGCTTTTATGGTTTTCTTTTATCACGACGATTTCTGTCAGCACGATCATACAAAAGAAATAACTTGAAGTCTAACAATGGCTGAGTCACAAATGAGATTTAAGGCGCTTTTTTTTCTCTCTCTCGTCATTATCAGTGAGTTAACGCCGCTTTGGCGAGATGCATAATACGCAGGTGCGGTGTTGAGTGTCTGAGACGCGTGCTGGCGAATGCTGTTCAAGCTTTAAAACTCAACGATATTGACAGCGCCGGGAGACGTGGGAGCATTTCACCCTCATACAGACACATCGGCAGGTACACCTCAGCTAATTAAACAAACTAAACAAACTTTTTTTTCTATATTTTACTCGGTAAGGCCCACTGAGCTATGCATAAAAAAATTTCAGAAGCGACCTGGCCACAATAGATTGCGCTTAACCGCGTGGACATTTATAGCAGCCAAATACTCTAAACGCGTGATGTTAATTCTAAATGTGGAGGGGGAAAACCCGGAGGACCCGAAGAAAAACCAACGCAACCACGGGGTTAGGGATTGAACCCACGACATCCTGTGCGACAGGCGAGGTCGTTAGCATCTCGCCACGGTGGCGCCCCAATCTGCTGCTGCCACTCTCAGGGTCTCCTCACTCATGAACGCTTGGGACGTCTTCTTCGTCGTCTGCAGACTTCTTAGCATTCTGTAGTTGAGTTTAGTTCACTGCTCTTCTATTCCTGCTGTTCGGCAATTTGTTCGGGAGCTAAGTGAGAATGTCGATGGTCTGCTAGACGAGCCAAGAGGACTTCAGGAGAGAGTTTGAGTCGTTTTGCTATTCCTCCTCCTCCGTTGAAAGAGCGTAGAATGCAGTGGATTCACTGCGTGGTCCAAAGTTTCGGTGGCATGCTCACAATCGCACTGCTGCGGCTTGTGCCTTTCATTTACCATTTTATCTCACCGATCAGCCAAAATTGTTATGAAGACCCATATTAATACTCTCAGCAGGCTGTAGCTGGGCACGGCTTGCTGATGAGCCCTAATGAGGGTGAATGTAAGTGAATTGCGGCCACATCTCCCATGCTGCCTAACGTTCGTCGTCGGTTGCACCCGATTCAAGAGCCGAATGGCTCACAGGGCTATACCAAATAAATGAAACTGAAACTGAAAAGCTTGGCGGCCGAAACGTTGAACAGGATTCGCCAGCGAATAAAACCGAACATTGACATCTGAAAGTTCGTTTTCATTTGTTTGTTAATCTCGCCTAAGCAGCATTAACACAATTGATCAAACAGTATTTACATATTCACATTAACACGTGTAAATATATATACAGACACATGCGCACACATTCAGATTTACAGCCTATTATACCCCCTTTTTCCCACTGGCGCATCCGAGCCAAACTAGTGCAGGTCCATCATGGTATGGGGTGCTTTTCCACTGGTCAGTCCGTGAGCCGAGCCAGAAGCAAACGGTGATATCCCAGCCTCACGAGACGTTTCAATCGGGCTCTGGGTAAAAACTGGGCCAGGGGGAGAGGGGGCTAACGATGGGTTCATCGCGTGTGGCGACATCAGACCAGCACGTTGGCCACGTTAAGTTGCGCTTGCACCCGAGTCAAGAGCCGCATGGCTCACAGGGCTCCACCTAATTAATGGAATGAAACTGAAACCACAAGTGCGTGTGGTTAATGCAGACATGATTCCTTGCAAAAGGTTTCTGTTTGGTGTTTTAACATCTTAACACAACTGTTTTATTGGCAGAAATAGTAAAACCAATTCTTATATTTTGGTACTGGAAAGAAAGGTCCCATGATGTAGCTGCTCACCCCGAGCTATAAATACCCTGATAGTGGCATTGTCTCTGTGCTGTTCGCCTTTTGACGTCCTCTGGTCTAACACTGTTTTAGGCTAGGCTCTAAAGAAGTCTGTCTCTGGTGTGGACCAATCAGTTTCAAAGACAATGCACATACTGTCAGAGCATGTTTTTTGTTTGCATGTTCACCACAAGCATGTGTGGTTAATGTAGACATAATTCCTTGCAAAATGTTTCTGTTTGGTGTTTTAACATCGTAACACAACTGTTTTATTGCCAAAAATGGTAAAACCTGTTCTTAAAGGTCAGCACGCTGTGTTTAGTTTTATTGTCCTTCCCATGCACCGACGATTAGCACGGCTGGATACGTACGGTGCAAAAGAAGTTCAACATGCATACACACACACAGGGCCACCGCGCCATGTACACGCGTCCCGGCTGGTTTGTTTGCGAGCGAGACGTCACCGGCACGGCACGGCTCGGCTTCTGCAGTGGAAAAATTAACACGGCGCCTTCCCGTGCCGTTCCGGACTGTGATGGTTCGGCACGACCCTGGCACGGCTCAGTTTAGTGCAGTGGAAAAGGGATATAAGGCGCACGCACTCACACACGCTCACCCATCATGCGCCATGCATTATTACCCCTCAACGCACAACTCTATAATTTCAAAAGTGGGGTCAGGCAAAATTATGTCACAAGGTGTGTGATGGGGGAGGGCGGGTCAGGGGTCATGACGAGGGCAGGTGTGTGAGAGGAGTCAGGGGGAGCTGCCCCAGGTGACAGACGACGTCACCAGTGTGCAGAAAAGACAGAAGGAGGGGGGCGGGGGGGTCATGAGGGGGGCAGGTGAGTGGGAGGAGTCAGGGGGAGCTGCCCCAGGTGACAGATGACGTCACCAATGTGAAAGAGAGACAGAGGGGGGGGGTCATGAGGGGGGCAGGTGAGTGGGAGGAGCCTCACGTGACAGATGAGGGGACAAGCGATCGGCAGTGAATCGGTGCGTGGAGGAGGCGGCTGGGGCTGGGGGGCACTGCGGTGCGTGGGGTGGTGGCACACGAGGAGGAGGAGGGCGGCGGAGTGTGGGGCGTGCAGGGGAAGGGTTCACCGGGTTCCCACCGCTGTGCGAGGAGGGACGCCGATTGTCGCGACGTTTAGACGCTGCGGCGGCCGAGACTCGAATGCGCGCGTGCGTCGCTTGCTAAGTCGGTGGGCCACGGCCGGCGAACGCGGCCTGAAAAAAGGCATCGCTCGGGGGCAATTACCGAAGGCGGATCGGGATCAACGTGACGGACTAAAGAGGTCAACAAGAGCTGGTGGTTTGTTTGTTTTTTGGGGGGAGGGGTGGGGGAGTGCGGGGGAAAGACTGCAAATTAATAATGAAATGTGATGCAATTCCTCTGCGGCCTGAAAGGAGAACGTTTCGTGTGGTCCCTCCATGGAATTTGGGACACTAAATGTGTGAAACAATGGCGGGAATTGATTTCTAAATGGAGGAGAGTAATGGCAAAGATTAGCATCTCCTGGAGCGTTCCGCGAGTTCTGTCACCGTGAGCCGCAACCGCCCCTCCTCCTCGCTCCCCCTCTGGCTCGCTCCCTCCCTGTCTGGCTCCCTCCCTGGCTCCCTCCCTGTCTGGCTCCCTCCCTCCCTGTCTGGCTCCCTGCCTCCCTCGCTCCCTCCCTCCGTGTTTCGCTCCCTCCCTCTCTTGCTCCCCCACTCTCTCGCTCGCATGCTCCCGTCATCAACACTCCTCCGCGTACGCTCATTGCCCGTGATGCGTTCACAACTTTCAGCCGAAGCCCGTTTCAGTTACAACAAATGCATTCACGTCCCGGTGATATCCGAACGGCAAAAGCGGTCCTGCAGTTCGTTAAACGCGACGAAAAATAAGGCTTCTTTGGAGGCACCGCATGCATGCCCCGGCCATCGTAAACCCGAGTGGCAATTGATTAGACATCAAGAACGGCATTAATTGACGTGGCACGGTTCTAGAGAAGAGGTTGGGCAGATGTGGCAGAGGTGGACCTGATGATGAGTGGACTTGCCAGCACGTGGTACCGGCGGTCTCAAGATCGGCCTCTGCGAAGGAGGCTTTCGTTTAAAGATGTAAAACTTTGTTCGCACCATTCATTGCCAACCGCGTTACTCGGAGGTGCGGGAGAAGGACAACAAACTAAACACAAAAAGCAAGTTCGAAAGAAATGAGTTTTCAATGGAGATCATTTAAAAGTGCCGTAGCTCCAGGGACTTCCTAATATCGGAAAGAAGAGCATTCCAGACGGCCGCGGAAGCGCATCTGAAAGCGCGCGACGCGATGGCCAGCCAAGAGCCGCTGCTGCTGCTGCTGTGCGGACGACCAGAGATGCTGACTGAGCGGCCGGTAGGCAGCTGTCTTCTGGAGACAACGGTCACGATGCAGGAGGAGAGAACGCTCACGACAACGAGCGGAACGTCGTGCGGGTGAAACGGAGTTGAAAAACGTTGACACCGTGCAAAGCGCAGTCACACGAGTTACACGCTCGGAGCCCGACCGGTGACTTCTCCTCGGCCAAGACTCGAGTGCACCTAGCCTGGCACACGCGCCGACGTTGACATCACAAACGGCGGCTGTTTGTGGTCGCAGCATGATTGGAGAGCACGTTTAGTGTTGGTGCCAGAGATGTCCCTTGAAGTAGCAGTCTTGTCCTTACGAATTAACCGAAAGATGAACTACAACAACAGCAACAATAACAACAACAACCGCCATTTGCCACGCAAGGTTTTCGGTGGCATCACCACAGCGCTCGTGCCATGCTGGGGGCGGCTTGAGGCCACGTGAAGTGTGCAGGCTTCGGGTGGAAATGCGGGCCCCCGTTGGGACGTGCGATGCGCCGCCCCTCTCTTGCGATGCGGCGACCTGCGATGCGTCGAGTTATCTACCGCGAGCGACTCCAGACCGTCATAGTTTCTGTGAGCGTCAATTTCCACGGCTGTCTCCCGACACGACTTTCGGGGGGGGGGGGTCGTGGGGGGGGTTCCACGAGGAGGGAAGACGGCTTCACTCCGTGACGACGATGCAAACCTCCGATCGCACGACGAGTCCAGGAAGTGACCTTTGACCAAAACCCAAATGTGAAATTATTTCCGTTTCTATATAAAAAAAAATACATATATAACAAAACGCAAACAAAGTCCACCAACTCGCACGCACACACCGACTCGAGTTTCTCGAGCAGAAGCTGAACCCAAGGGGGGGCCAGGGGTTTCGGGCGGATTTGGAGTTCCAGGGGGTGATGGATGTCACGACGTGACCTGCGGCCGGAATCCCTCCTTGGTCACGGCCTCCTCGTAGTCCGACTGGCAGAGGATCATGCTGTTCTTCAAGAAGAACTTGTCTCCTACGCAGAACCTGAGGCGGCAGTCGTGGGGAAGAACGTGGGTGGTGACTGGCGGTCATTCGGCTCAAGGAAGACGCAGACGGTGACGTGAGTTTGACACTTTTGTTGTCAGCCAAGCGGTTGCACTGACACGGCCACCGTGAGACATTCACAGCCACCCCTTACTCGACAGTGACGCCCAATGGTCCGGTATTTTATGTGTCCCCTTGTCACTGTGTCCCCATGTCCTCGTGTCCACGTGTCCCCGTGTTCCCGTGTCCACGTGTCCCCGTGTCCACGTGTCCCCGTGTCCCCGTGTCCACGTGTCCACGTGTCCCCGTGTCCACGTGTCCCCGTGTCCACGTGTCCACGTGTCCCCGTGTCCACGTGTCCCGTGTCCACGTGTCCCGTGTCCACGTGTCCACGTGTCCCCGTGTCCCCGTGTCCACGTGTCCCCGTGTCCACGTGTCCACGTGTCCCCATGTCCCCGTGTCCACGTGTCCCGTGTCCCCGTGTCCCCGTGTCCACGTGTCCCCGTGTCCACGTGTCCCCCTGTCCCCGTGTCCCGTGTCCCCGTGTCCACGTGTCCCCGTGTCCCCGTGTCCCCAAGTCCCTGTGTGTCAGCGTCCCCGCGTCTCTCACCGCTGGTTGCAGAGCTGGCAGGCGAAGCAGTCGAGGTGGTAGACGCTGTCGCGCACGCGCATCACCATCTCGAACGCCGGGATGAGCTTCGTGCACGCCGCACAGTTGCCCGTTACGCCAAACAGCCTGCCCCATCACACCATCAACATCACGACCAACACCATCACCACCACCATCAACATCACCACCATCATCAACATCAACACCATCACACCATCGACATCAACACCATCACACCATCACCACTATCACCACCATCACACCATCACCACCATCACCACCATCACCAACATCATCAACACCGCCGTCACCATCACCACCATCCCCACCGACACCACCACCATAAACACCGCCGTCACCATCACCACCACCATCGCCACCATCATCAACATCAACACCATCACACCATCACCACCACCATCACCACCATCATCAACACCACTGTCACCATCACCACCACTTTCACCACCATCATCAACACCATCACCACCAGCACCACCACCATCAACATCACCACCACCATCATCAACACCACCGTCACCATCACCACCAGAACCACCACCGTCACCATCATCATTATCAACATCAACACCATCACACCATCACCACCATCAACACCATTGTCACCGCCAGTACCTCCACCATCACCACCATCACCACCATTATCACATCAACACCGTCACCACCACCATCATCAACACCATCACCACCACCATCATCATTATACACCACCATCATCGATGCCACCATCATCATCATCAACACCATCATGGTCCTCCCGTAGGTTAACTCAGCCTCAAATGAGTACCTAGTGCGGTGTGTCAACATCGCCACTGGGGAGACAAAGGCGGTCGGGCGTGGTGCTGGCCACCCACCCCCTCGTGTGCCGTGGCGGCCTTCATAGGTGCTCGCTAACATCACTTGCCCCAAAAGTCTGTTAAGCCTATACGGGGGATCTTTGTCTTTGTAATCTAATATATCTGTGTGGGGCACTGCAATGTACGACCGCAAACCCCCACCCCCCTTCCCCAAAAACACAATTGGGTGCATAAATAGGAGCTCGCCGATTGGACAGCGGTGGCAGCCAATAGATGGGCACCCTCCCGCAAGCTTCCATTGATCACCAGGCAATTACCAGCCAGGCAGCAGTAAATTACGCGGCACATTAAGCAGAGGAATGGGAAGGGATTTCTCATCAGTGTCAGGACGTGTGATTAATGTGTGAACGCATGGGCTGTGTGTGTGTGGGTCTCTCTCCCTCACAGCTCCCCCCCCCTCTCTCATCTTCTCTCTCTCTCTTGCACACACACACACACTCACACACACAACGACAAAGATTCCCCGTGTAGCCTAAACAGACTGTTGGAGCAAAGTGCTGTTTAGCGAGCGCAGATGAAGGCCGGCACGGAGCACACGATGCAGTGCGTGGCCAGCACCACGTCTAACCCAATGCTAATGCTTCACAAGCTTCATCTCGTTTGAAGGCTGAGTCGACCTAAGGGAAGGTTCAGGACTGGATCAGACAGCAGTCGAGTGGTGTGGGGAGCTCTGACACAGTGGCGTCATGAACACACTGTGCTGAGCTTCATTCCCGGCCAGGGCTCACGTAAAGACACCGATGTCCCGTAGGGAACGCGTATATCCTACATCCACTGTTGGGGTATAAACTTCCTGCTATTGCACGCAGGTTAGAAAACAAAGTCCTTGATGGAATAGAAGCTGAAAGGAAGTGTGCAAAGAAGCGTTGAGCGGTGCATACTTGGAATAAATATTGAAATACTTTAATTTTTATTTTACTTTGCCAGGTGAGGCACACTGAGCTACGTAGTTTTTTTCTCACAAGCGACCTGGACCACACAAGATAGCTCAACGGAGTGGCTTATCACGTGGACATTTGTAGCAACCAAACACTCGAAACTAAATGTTCATTCTAAATGTAGAGGGAAAACCGGGAGGACCCGGAGAAAAATCCACGCGACCACGGGTAGAGAAAGATAGACACCGCAAACTCAAAATATACAGCAGGCATCGTCAGGGTCGGGATCGAACCCACGACCTCCTGTATACCACGCGAGATGGTTGACATCTCCTAGCCACCGCGGCGTCCCATGACACAGGTTCGGGACGTCGCATTGAGATCGAGCGTTGAGAAAGGTGAGCGAGCAGCGCTTGGGCAGAAGGGATGATGACCGGCGGGCGGTAGAGACTGATGGTGGAGTGGCAGTCAACGGAAGGAACGCGATCGGGTGGCGTTCCATGGCAGAGGTGGAGCGACCAAGTCACGTGGTGTGCAGGAGCCTTGCATTGATCGTTATATCGCGAAACCGTGAGAGTAACCCCATTGGCTTGCCAAGACCTTCGTCCAGCAGTGGATAGATAATGGCGAATTAATATGACGAAACGCACATACGCCACCATCCACTAACTTACGTACCTTACGGTGATATATGTACACATCGTGATTGTCGTCACCATTACCATCGTTACCATCATCATAGTCGTCATCATCACTACCATCGTCAGTTCAACACGTAGGCTTTCGCGACCAATATCATCCATAATAGAGGGTTTTTTTTTACTAGTTGGCTGTGTCGGGTGGTGGCGGGTTTAACGACACATTGATATATTTACGCGATCTAACCCAAAAAAACTCTATTGTGGACTATCATCACCGTCACCGTTATCATCGACGTCATCACCGTTGCCATCATCATTATTACTATCATCATCAATGCCATTGGCATCATCTCCCTCCTACTTAATCGAAGTGGGTTTCACATTCATACATTTACGACGCAAAGGCAGGCAAGGGATTGGCACCGTGAAAGAGTGGAGTGAGACAAAGACGGCTGTGTGTGTGGGGGGGGGGGGTGAAGGGGTGTGATTGGTTCTGGGTGGGGGGGGAGGGACTAGGCTCGGCGGCGTCTCGGCCTCGTGTGGCGGAGAGATAAGTGCCAGGAGCTTGGCAGCGTTCACCTACGCTCGGGGTTCTATTCCGCGCAAATCATGCGGGGGAAACATCACACAGACGTGGGGGGGGGGGGAGGCACACGTGTGCAGTGCATTGCATTGCCACATTTGCACGCACGCGCATACATACACGTGCTCACTGTCAAGCACAAAAAGTCCCCCCAGGAATCGCATTTAACAGACTGTTGGGGCGAGTGCTGTGAGCGAGCACTCACGAAGGCCGGAACGGCGCACGAGGGGTTTGGGTGGCCAGCACCACGCCCGTCCGCCTTTGTCTCCCCAGGGGCGATGTTTACACACAGTACCTGGAACTCATTCAAGGCTGAGTTGCCAACCTGGGGGATGCTCATGACCGGCTCAGATTATACTGTACTTCACTAAACGTTCGGTCCGTGAGCGGGAATCGAAACTCGGGTCGCCGGGATCTTGGTAGAAGACGCTAACCACTGCGCCACCGCTCCCCCACGAGGCATCGCACACACACACAAAGCAGCACCCCAGCGTGTTGGTGGATATCCAGCCAGGTGGCTCAACGGTAGAGCGAGCAGCCTGCAATTGAAAGGTTGCGAATTCAAATCCTGGTTAGAGGGGTGGAAGGTTGTCTCAGCCCATCATCCCCTCTGGGCTCAGTAAAACGAGTACCACTTTGTGGGGAGTTAACAGCGGCCACCCTTCGGTTAGAATATCCGTGGCCGGAAATTAACAGCGCAGTGCACTAACCCTCCCCTCCCCCACCCACACCGCCAAACTTTAGAGGAAACAAACGAATGAATGCAGCAATAATCTTGCAGCAAGCAGGGGAAACATTCTTCCGGCAGCAACTGGGGCCAGTGTGCATCCGCGTGTCCCTGCGCTTGTGCTGAGTGCCTCTCTGCTGCTCATTACATGAGATGCGTTTCCATCCCATTAGATTAAAGCAGTGTTTCCATCAAGCACGCGCATTACGCTCAGGCGCGTGCATTTTTTTTTTGGGTTAAAATCCGATCCCAATTTTGATTGAGGTTCGTTTACTGTCGCCCATTTGCGATTAATGTCGAGTGCATTGGCCTTTATTTTCAATTTTCTATTTTATTGGAAAAGGCTTAATTCTCATCTGAATTTGTAAAGGAGGTTTATTAAGGTTGATTTTCTTTTTCTTTGCAGGATTTGCTGCCATGGTGACTGGTTTGTTGGTTAACTGCCGAAAGGCCACGTGATGCAACTGGGCCATTGTCTCAAGGCCCCATCAGAGATCAGTGTGTCTATCTATTGTCTAAGACCCCCCCCCCTCCCAGTGTGTCTATCTATTGTCTAAGGCCCCCCCCCCCAGTGTGTCTATCTATTGTCTAAGACCCCACCAGTGTGTCTATCTATTGTCTAAGACCCCCACCAGAGACCCGTGTGTCTATCAATTGTTTAAGACCCCCAAGTGTGTCTATCTATTGTCTAAGATGCCCCCAGTGTGTCTATCCATTGTCTAAGACCCCCCCCCCGGTGTGTCTATCCATTGTCTAAGACCCCCCCCCCCTCCCCAGTGTCTACCTATTGTCTAAGCCCCCCCCCCCCAGTGTGTCTATCCATTGTCTAAGCCCCCCCCCCCCAGTGTGTCTTTCCATTGTCTAAGACCCCCCCCCCCAGTGTGTCTATCCATTGTCTAAGACCCCCCCCCCCCAGTGTGTCTTTCCATTGTCTAAGACCCCCCCCCACCAGTGTGTCTATCTATTGTCTAAGACGCCCCCAGTGTGTCTATCTATTGTCTAAGACCCCATCAGAGACCGCTGTGTATATATTCTCCAAGAGCTCACCAGAGTGGCGAGAGATTACAACTTAACACCGTGGTAAGTCAAAGTGCATACTGGGCCCCACCATAGCAATGTGGATACCTCCCCCCCGCCCCCCCCCCCCCCCCACTTGATAACTTGACTTTTGTGTTTTTGTCCTCCTCCCCTCTTCACCTTGCCACGCGTTCCACGTCAACTCTGAACATTGCTGGGAGGCTCAACCCCGGGGACACGTGGGCCGACGAGAGGCCCCCTCCCTCCGTCAAGCCCCGCCCACTTTTACACGGCCACGCCCACTTCGCCGCCAGCACCCCCCCCCCCCCAGCAGGGAGCGGCCTCGCACATTGGTTCACGGCCCCCCGCTGCTCATTGGCTACTCCTCTGCAAAACCCCGCCCCTAACTTTCCGGTCGCCCCGCCCTTTGTCGACATCGTGAGAATGGGTTGCCACCTGTCCTGGTTTTCCCCGGACGTCTTCTTCAAAGACAAACTCATCTCTTTACACGTTATTCCCCCCTCTTTACGGCATTGTGAGATATTCTTCTCTCCACGATATGTCCGCCGGATATTTAGTTTCCCAGTGGTGGCAACACCATGCGGGAAGCCAAAAAAATATCTTAAACCGGGACATTAAACTGCTGTTTGCAAATGCTGTACTTCCAGGGGACACGGGGGCAGATTTCGGTACCTGGGACAATCCTGGGGGGGAAAAAAAACTCCAGGTGTAGTTTGTATGCTCTGCATGGAGGTTTCTGCAGGTTCTCCCGTTACCTGCCATAGCTAACAAAAACAACGCATCGCCTATTGCACCTAACATTCAAATGCTGAAAAAAATGTTTGCAAATTACTTGGGGTGGGATCACTTTACACGCAGCAGCAGCAGCAACATCGCTCGCCTATTGCGAACAAAAAACAGCGCGGCAGGGCCCTCTTGAAGCAAGGGTCGTGAGATTCAGCACGTTTCTCCCTCGCAAACAAACATGGTAACGCAACTAAACAGTCGTCTTCTATTTAACAAGTAAGGCCCGCTGAGCTATGTAGATCTTTTTCAGAAGCCACCTGGCGATCACAAATGATGGCTCAACGAAGTGGCTTGTCATCGTGTGGAAAGCTATCGCAGCCAAATACTCGAAACGCCACGTTGAATCTAAATGTGTAGGGGAAGAATCAGGCGACCCGGAGAAAAATCCACGCGACCACGGGGAGAGAGACACGCAAACTCCACTATACAGGCGTCGGGCTCAGGATCGAACCCACGACCTCCTGTATACCACGCGAGGTAGTTCACATCAAGCCACCGTGGCGCCCTAAAAAAATTTAACAACAGTAACAAAACCAGGAGGACGTTTTGGAAGCCTTACCCGCTCACCCACCCAGCCGGCCTGCGTTCTGGTTTAATAGCCTCCTGCAAGACCCCCCCCCCCCCGCCCTGCTCGCCAACCCCACAGAGCACACAATGCCTCGGCTTGCCGGGGGTGAGCTCTCTTAGCCCTGACAAATCAGCATAATAATAGCCATGATCTCAGCGAGCCGGCGCGCCGATCAATAACGCCACTAAGCAGTCCGCTGCTGCAATTGCGGCTCGTTATATCATTGCCGTCGCGCGTAGAGGGGGGGGCAGCTGTGATGTGGTGGGGAGGGATGGGGGGGGGGGCACAGCCGGGTGAGGATAGCGGTGATGGTCGTGTTGTCTTGCGTTGATGATGATGGTGGTGGTGGTAGAGGTGGTGACGCTGATGGCACGGGAGATGTTGAGGGGTGATGGTGGTGGTGGTGTTCACGATGTTGTTGCTGTGGCTGATGAGGAAAGTGGTGGTAGTGCGATTGTGAAAGTGAAGATGGTTGTGGTGATGATGATGATGGCGAGGATGGCGGTACCGAAGATGTTTAAGACCGGTGGATGTTGAAAATGATGATGATGGTGGTGATAATGGTGGTGGTGGTGGTGTTTTTGAATGTAGCTGCGGCAGCGGTGGTGCTGGTGTTGCCTCGAATGGTGCGGAACGCGGCAGAATGAATGACGATGGTGGTGCTGATGACAGTGAAGAGAGCGGTGCCGACATGAACGATGAAGATGGTGGCGATGGTGTTGGTGATCGCAGATATAGTGGTGACAGGTGTTTGGACGTGGTTGAACACTGTGTGGCGGTGGTTGGACAAGATGAATTGGAAGTACGTGGGCGACCGTCGTGCCCAGATGCTAGGGCTGTGGGAAAAGATGGACGAGGGTTTACGAACGACCTTCACCGTGTGCTCCGCGCGGTCGCCCGGGTGCTGAAGGCACCGTGCCCACAGCCAGCTGCTAATTTATGGAGCAATTTGGTGCAGGATTAACGAGCCCAACCCTCTTTCTCGCCCCTGTCACATTTACCCCCCCCCCCACCCACCCACCAATATGCACATACACAGAGCCACTCACTGCCCACCCACCTAGCCTCCCACCCAGCCACAAAGCCAACTACCCACTCAGCCACCCGCTCACTGAGACACCTATCCATCCACCTACCCACACAGCCAGCTAACCCGCCACCGGACTACCCACCCAGCCAGCCACTCAGCCACACACCCACCGAGTGATCCACCCACCCACCACCACCATCACCACCAGCGCCGTGAACACTAAGCGTAATGACAGCAAAACAAAAACGCTGCCCCCCACCCCACACTCACCCCCACTCCCACGGAAGCCTCGGCCCCCCAGAGAAATCTGGGCCTTTGTTAATTGTGTGTTTTTATTAAAGGGAGCCGCGAGCTGCACGCCCTGCCGTTAATTGCGTGAGGCTGTGGACGCGAGCCGTCAAGACTCGTGTTGGTGACGGTGACGCGGGCGGGCGGGGGAGAAGAGCGAGCGGCGGGGAAGTTGCGAGGATGAAGATGATGCAAATAAATTGCTATCGGAAAGCGCGAACCACAAGCGGAAAGCGAAAACGCAGCGAAAAGCCCAGCGTCCCCTCTAACGCGGGGGCGCTGGGGAAGATCCTAATGCAGCATCCGCGCTCATGAATCGAGTTCAAGTGTAGGCCACCCATTGCACCGAGAGCTGCTCGAACCTTCACATACTCGTCTGGGATCCCCGGGAGAAATCTAGAATCAGGCGAATTGTCATGGACATCATCATCATCGTCATCACGATAGTGACGAGGACGATGAGGATGGCACTGACCCAGACTGAGATCAAGTGTGCTCGTTACGTAGACTCAGCCCTGTGAACTCGAGACCCGGGAGAAGGAGCAGTGCGGGGTTTGTGGTGATCCCACGGAGAGGCTCGGCAGCACCTGTGTGATGCGGCAGGCCCGTGCTAGGCCTCGATTCGGGAGAAGGCCAGGTGACTTTTGTCATCAATTACGCTTTTAATCATCCATCATTATTATTATGAGTTACGATCAGCTTACTTTATAAGTATTCTTAGGTTTTTTCGGTAAAGTCACGTAGGTAAAGATTTAAATAAAAATTAATTAAAGTAAAATAAAAAATAAAACCACCTGAAGACGGAAGCTTGTGTTGCCTCCGAAACGCCGTGATTTTAATTTTAATTTTTTTTTTTTTTTTATTTTAATTTTACTTTTATTAATTTTAATTTTTTACCTACGTGACTTTACCGAAAAAACCTAAGAATATGAATCCTTGCAGTCACGAAAGCTTCAAATCTAGAATTACTTTATACGGGCGGTTCTCACCACCCGCTACGACTTCTCAGAACTTTACAAACGCCCAATGCCCCGTAACTACTGACTGACTCGGGGATGACGAGAAATCTCACGTCGCAAAACGGAACCCGCGACGTCGCCATGAGGAGATATCGTCAAACGTTGTGAACGCTGGACCACGATTTTCTCCACCCTCGACCCCCTGGGTTTAATCGGGGAGGGACGAGGGGTAATGAGTTGAAAAAAAAAGTTGTGTTTTTTTATATTTTTGTCCATAAAAATATGTTTTTAATAACAAATTGTTCGGTGACATTTTTTAAACGTAAAAATTGTAGTAATTATTTTTTATAGTTCTTTTTTTGTAAATTAGAATTTTGTACGCTTATTTAAAACAGTTTTTAATTAAAAACATGTATTTTAAGAATAAAATAATTCGATATTTATTTTATTCAATAAATGTTTAAATAAAAAAAACGGGTTTTTAATTAAAAACATTCGTAATTAATTTAAGAAAAAAAATATTTGCTACTTTTTAATGATAAAAAAAGAATGATATATATTTTTTTACAATTAAAAAAATAACGGTAACATTTTTTTAAAAAATTAACATTTCATTCCACGGGTGGGGAAAAGGGACAGACGTGCGTGCGGCACCTCAGGTAGTCCCTGCGGCACAGGATGAGGTTGGCGCGCGTGTAGAGCGTGGAGCCGACCTCTCCCAGACGGCAGTCGCAGCAGGCGCACTTGAGGCAGTCTTCATGCCAGTACTTGTCCAGCGCCTTGAGGAGGTAGCGGTCGCGAATCTTGCGGTGGCAGCCGGCGCAGCCCTTGGGGGCCCCGTCCGGCTGCAGCGGCAGCATCTGGACGCCTGCGGGTCGCGCAATCGCCAACGTGGGAATACAAAAAAATATCGTCAGGTCCTGCAAATTTTCACGCGAGGTCTCCGCGACACATTCGGCCACTGTGGAGTTGTGACCGTAGCCACCGCGGCGGTGTGTCGCGTCGTATCGGCAAAGATCGATTATTGCAACTTGCTAGCTTACTGCTAAAAAAAAAACATCAGCAAGCTGCAGCAAAATTGTTTGGCACGTGTCGTGACGGGTACTGCAACATCCGACCATTTCCGTCCGGTGCTCGTACGACCTCCTGTATACCCGGCGAGGTAGTTAACATCACGCGGCCGACCTGAGCCATGCCCCCTTCCACCACCCACTAATTAATTGCTGTTCAACTTCGCTCCTTTTAATTTCACCCTTCACCTCCCCCCCACCACGTGACACCGCAGATGAACCCTCCCGACGCGGCACTCCGTGCCAAACACGGCGACTCGCTCAGCGCCAGAGAGTTGGGGATTTTACGCGCGCGGCGCGAGGTCGCGCACGCGAGATGAGTGGAGGGGGGTTGCAGGTGGGGGGGGGGGGCGATGGGAGGTGACGTGAGGACGCTACGTGAATCCCCCCCCCCACCAACCGCACTTCGATTTTGGGATTAACGGCGATAATTGTATTGGTCTACGGTGGGATGACGACGGTGATAATGACGGCGATCATGAGCTGAGTCGACCCCCCCCCTCTCCACGCCTTCCGGCCACCAACCGCCCCAATCCCCCCCCAAATCAGGATCAGCGTGAGAGCAAACGAGAGGCACGGGGGAGAACGCGAACACATTGGCAGGGCGCTCGCAAGCACGAGGGACATCGAGAAATGCAGCGGTGACATTTCGTGCTAATGAGCCCATCTCATCCCTGTGGCCCCCATGTAGCCAATTGCTTCCCCCCCCACCCCCGAAATCCGCTCCCATCTCTTCCCCCCCCCCCTCCGCACCCCCACCAACCCCTTCCTCCAGTCCCCGTCAGGTGCAATCACGTGGGGAGTGCTCGTTAGCGACACTCACGGCCCCACACCGCTGCCGGCCAATCCCCCATTAGAGGGGAGCTCAACTGGGTGGCACGTTCCCCCGGCAGTGGCGTCGTTAGGGGTCAACCAGAGGTCGCAACCGGGTACCCGATACCCGTACCCTACCCGATACCCGGCTACCCGTACCCGGCCGGGTACGGGTAGCCGTTTGCGACCCTGGTGCGGCCAGGTACGGGTACGGGTAGGCCGTGAGTCACTGGTGAGTAACCGTTTGTCACTCATTTCCCAACGTCTTGTCTCTTCTCACAATTCAAGTTCCTAGAATCAACCCACCCGCGCCTGCAACATGGCTTCATCCCAGAGGTCGCAATCGGGTACGGGTAGGGTACGGGTACCCGGCCGGGTACGGGTACGGCCGGGTACGGGTACGGGTACCTGTTTTCGACCCTGGTGCGGCCGGGTACTGGTACGGGTAAGGAATCAAAACCCGTTTGCGACCTCTGGGGTCAACGCGAGGAGGAGACCCCCATCCCCCAAACCTCCCACCACCCCCCCCAGACAGGCCCCGACTCTGCTCACTGCTCGCCCCTCGTTCAGACGCTGCGAGACGACGGCACGGAGGCTGCACATCTCGTCCATCGCGTATCGCACAAAACCCCCCGCTCGTGAAACGTTATCGATTTTTTTTTTTAGAAATGCGAGATCGATTCGATGCGAATTAACGAACCGCCGATCGTTGATTTCCGCACCTCCGATGAGCGTGGTTGGCTACGTACGGCGCGAAAGAAATTCAACTTACGTACATGAGCGCGCTGCGTTTGAAACCTGGCGAGCCGAGTTTCATACCCGGCCACGGCTAACGTCAGTGGCGATTTGCTCTGAACTGGTCCTGCCCCCCACCCCCACAGCCCCCCCCCCCCCCCAGCGTACACTTCACAAATCCGTACTAACCAGTGCGGTGAATTATGGTCAGACAATCCCGACTGCCACGACTGCCACGGCACGAGGAAGGCCTTCTCTTCTAGATTGGAATTCGAGATTTGAAGTTTTCGTGGCTGCAAGGATCCATACATACTCTTAGTTTTTTTTCCGGTAAAGTCATATAAACATGTGTCTCTAAATAGCTCTCTTCACACGCTACAGTAATTTTGCTGGAGCAGTCACACCTGATGACGGATGCTTGTGTTGCTTCCGAAACGTCGTGATTTAATTTAGTTGTTTAATTTAGTTTTATTTTATTTAGTTTTCACCTACGTAACTTTACCGAAAAAAAAACAAAGAGGAAGGCCTTCTCTGTAGGAGGCCTGGTTACAACACCGACTCGCTGCTTCCCTTTTGCCCTTTCCTTTGCCCCCCCCCAGGGCTCTCCTGCCCCCCACACTGCCCTATTGCATCATGTGCTCCAATCCTCTCCTCCAATCCTCTCCTCGTCGCCCTCGCCAATTGGGCCCTCCTGTCGTCCGCACGGGCCCTTCTCCGCGAGGAGCGACGCTTCGCCCAACGCTCGACGGAACCTCGTGTTTGGGGCCGTCCATAAATGACGTCACGCGATTTTTTGGACGATTTTTGAGTCCCCCCTTGTCACACGGCGTCACCAAAAATCAGACCCCCCCCCAAAAAAAATAAAACATGCTTCAAATCGCTTTAAACTATTGTCATTGTAGTGCGTATTTAATGTGGCGCTGCACTCTAATGTTGTAGGAGAAAAAATATTAAAAAGTCTATTTAATTAAGTAGAACGTGTTGTCTATATGTATTTTCAAGATGCGCATTTTGATGTGGCGTCACATTTATCACCCCCCCCCTCGTCACAGATCGTCACAAATGTCTGACCCCCCCCCCCCCAGGTGCGTGACGTCATTTATGAACGGACCCTTTCCAGCGGGTACCAAGGGGCTTTATTGCGACGTCTGAACTTTTGATTTATTTTAAAGTCAAAGGGTAAATGACGATTGTAAGTTAAATAGTCTGAAAAGTTGCTGACGGTCAATCTGGCTCCAGCGACGGACACGCGCGCACGAGAGAGAGAGTTGGGGTCACAGCTGGTGCAGCTCTCTGCAGCCAGTCGTCTCGGTCGGTCAACCCACGTGGGCACATGGCTGTCGGTCCCCGTGACCTCCCGTCAGCGAGCCTTCGACACCTCGCGCGACCTCAAAGTGCACCTGGCCTGGCACAGGCGCCGTGGTGACGTCCGCCCTCCACTGAGTGGCGAATGGCGACTGCTGCTGCTGTTGTTGTGGTGGTGGTGGTGAGAGAGCCAGAAAGCGTCGCGTGTTTGTGCTCTTGATACAGATCCCTCGAGGATCGAAACCGACGATTGGGAGAATGGCACAGTTGAGAGAGAGAGAGAGGGAGGTGGAAAAGGTAAGGAGAGGAGAGGGACAGGAGAGTGTAATGGGGTGAGATGGAGAGAGATGGGGTGGAGGAAGATTGACAGAGATAAGAATGAAGAGAGAGACGAGGAGAGGGAGGAAGCTGTGGAGAGCGAGGGAGATGGTGAGATAGTCCTATATATATCCGCGATTTCGTTATACAAACATGCGGGGTAATCCGACCAATCTATTCCACATTCAGTGCCGTTGATTAGAAAAGTTAATCAATCAGAGGCTCCAGACAATCAATATTTCCCATTATCATGGTGTTCCCAACTTAAATTTCAGATAAACACCATCGCACCTCTCCAAGGCAACCGCAGCCATCGCCCTAAGCCCATCTCTAACTCTTATCCATAACCTTGAGCCCTCGTCCACACCCCAACCCGAACCCTAGCCCGAACTCTAACCCCAACCCAAACATAGCTCTCGCCCAATCATATCCCTTGGTCAAACCTAACCGTAATCCCTAGCTCTAATCAAACACTTGGCACCAACTATAACCGTGACAGTTTAACACGTAGGCTTTCGCGACCAATTTTATTCATAATAAACGTTTTTGGGTTACATCGCGTTATTTATGAATGTGTCGTAACCCTCCACCACCCGACACGGCCAATCAGTATAACCATGACCCTCGTTCAAATGCACATGAGCGGCTAAGCACCCCCTCCTCCCTAACCCTACCCAAAACCCAACACTATCTCGAGTGATAACCCAAGCCGAAAGCCAACACGAGCTTTGGCCCCAACCCTAACCTCATCGCTACCCTTCGCCCAAACTCGGGTCGCCGAATTTCTTAGCGCAGCGCGCTAACCACTGTGCCACCACTCTCCACGAAGACAAAGATCCCCCGTATAGCCTTAACAGGCCGGTACGGCACACGAGGGGTTGGGTGGCACGGACCACGCCGGGCCGCCTTTGTCTCCCTCGGGGCGATGTTTTTACATACCGCACCAGGTACTCAATTTTGACCGAGTCGACCTAGGCGAGGCCAAGGACGGTTTCCGATCATCATCACCGATGTTGCCCACGCTACCACTCCCCATGCACACACAACCATGCACACCAGATTCCTGTTACAATTAACCCTCTCCGCAGCGACGTGATAACTTCTCACGCTTTGTGTGGGGGTGGGGTGGTGGGAATGGGGGGTCACAGTTCAATTCAATGATCGATTCATTTTGATCTCGTGCTTGGCCTCGCTTGCGCGAGACATTTCGTGAGTGGCGCCCATACAAATAATACATAGAACACGAGCGTTACATTTGCATCGGTTTTGTCGTTGGAATTTTTAGAAAATCGCAGCGAATTATTGATCCAGTTTGTTGCGAGCTCCCGTTGCTAATTAAGGTTCAGACGCAGGGGTTATCGGCCTCCTCGTGCTGAACCAGAGCTCTGCCACCGCCCCCATTAGCCACGGTGCTGGATGGAGCTTTCTCCGCGAGGATCATTATCAGCCGGAGGCAACAAGGAAGCAGATGGGGTTTTTTGCGTCGGACTAAGTAAAAAAAAACACAGATACACCCGCCACGTAGAGCCGACATCAACTACTGGGGCAATTGCGGTTAGCGAGTACTGATTAAGGCCGGAACGGGGCAACGATATGGGGTAAGGGTGTCCGTGGCCAGGAAACAACG